CGCGTCCCTTCGCCAGTCGGACTCCTGATTTCTAGCTGTTGCAGGTGCACGCAAACCCTCAACCCCAAGCCATAAACCCAACAAGGTATCAGGACTCAGGATTCAAAGGGTTTTGGGCAAGGTGCACGCGGTTTCCCTGGCTTTGAGGAGCCTTACAAGGAAAAGGCGCTAAATGCCCTGCAACTCCCAACTTACAACCCAACCTTCGTCCCCAAAAGCCTAAGCCTCCTAAACCCCCAAAACCCAACATCCCTATACCCGGCCCGAAACCCTAAACCCCTACATCTTAAACCTCAAGCCCCTAAACCCTCAAAGCCTGAGTCCCCAAGCCCCCCCCCCCCTCCCCATGCCCCTTACAAACCGTCGGAAAGCATCTCCAGGGCAAGGGAAATAATTAAACCCATTTGAATATTGATATAACAAACATCTCTATCTGTCTATATGTACATGTCACATATGTGTATATACCTCTATACACATAATACACACACACATATATATATATATATATATATTCATTCATATATGTATGTTTCCATAATATGTATACACAATATATACATATGGAAACATACATATATACATGTATAAATATATGTATATATGGATGTTTCCATATATAAGTATATATGCATACATTGGCATACATCTAAAAGGGTGCTTAGCGAGCTCCGGCCTTCCCAGCGGAATTGCCTGAGGATCGCTTGCCCTGCGCAAGAGAGGCAAATTTGCAGCAAGGTCTACGCCAAACCCAAGGGGGTTTCGGGTTAGGGTTTAGGGTTGAGGGTTTAGGGTTTAGGGTTCAGGGTTTAGGGTTTAGGGCTTAGGGCTTAGGGTTTAGGGTTTAGGGTTCAGGGTTTAGGGTCTAGGGTTTAGGGTGTAGGATTTAGGGTTTAGGATTTAAGCTTAGGGTTTGGGGTTCAGGGTTTAGGGTTTGGGGTTTAGGGTTAAGGGTTTAGGGTTAGGAGCCCTACCAGAGATAGCTGTAGAGAGGCAGACATGAAGCTAAGCTGCATGATGTACATGTTTTGTACATGGGTATTTCCCAAATACAAGTATGGGGCAATCCTGCAAGATAGCCCAAAATACTAGAAACCTCAGTAACGGAACCCCCAAGAAGGGAGTATTCCTATTTCCGGAAACCATCGTGCTAACTACGTGCGCGCCTGATCCCCTGAATTCTGCCCTGGCTCAAGGCATGCAGACCCATGCGCTTGAACCCTGAACACTTTCAATCCAAAGTTCCCTGAACCCTAAGCCCTAAGCCCTAAGCCCTAAGCCCTAGGCCCTAGGCCCTAGGCCCTAAGCCCTAAGCCCTAAACCCTACTCTTATAAGTTGCAGTCTGCTGGCTTTCTTTTGGGCTTCCGGACTTTAGGGCTTCAAGCGCTTTTTGGGGTTGGGGGGTGTTGGAGCTTAGGGCTTACGGTTTGGGTTTTGGGTTTCGGTTGGTGCCACGTTCTTCGCCTAAACCCTAACCCCCTAACCCGAAACCCTAAACCCTAAACCCAGGCAAAAGGGCAGCGCTTTCTAGTTCCGGAGTTTCAGGGAAGATACAGATCCCGCCTTGGGACTAGTTTAGGGTTTCAGGTTTAGGGTTTAGGGTTTAGGGGGGCTACTCAATGGACGCGGGTGTGATTCAAGAATACTAATAGGGGCCCGAATAATTTGAATAGGGTCTGGGGGGTTGCTATCGTACATTTACATAGAGACCATGAGGGAAATAGTACTAGTAGTGAAACCCCTAAACCCTAACCCTAAACCCTAAACCCCTAGATTAGCTGACTGAGAGTCTCTCTGTAGGTTCTAACCCCCCCCCCCCCGAAATGGAGGGTCTAGCCCCCCCAGCATCGCAGATACATGGAGCTCCATCAGGGTTTAGGGTTTAGGGCTAGGGTTTAGGGTTTAGGGTTTAGGGCTTAGGGCTTAGGGTTTAGGGTCTAGGGTCTAGGGTCTAGGGTCTAGGGTTTAGGGTTGAGGGTTTAGGGTTTGAGGGCTTCTTCGCGGGCCTCTTCCTTCGGGTATCCGCCTGCGGTAGACCTCGGCCGGAGTGAGGCGAAGGGGGGGGGGCTGGAGGCAACCAAGTGCCATGAGACGCTGCAGGGTGCACAAGAGGGCTTAGGGTTTAGGGTTTAGGGTTTAGGGGTTGGGGTTTGGGGTTTAGGGTTTGGGGTTCTGTACAGAGTTTGGAGGTTAGGGTCTTAGGGTCTAGGAATTTCAGGGTTTGGTTTTAGCGTTCAATACCTCAACACGCAGAGGTGCCGCAATTCCCACACTGGGATGTCAACTCACAGGTCAGGCGTAGTCGTCGCGCTTAATTACAGCCTGTTTAAGTCACCCTAAACCCTAAACCCTAAACCCTAAACCCTAAACCCTAAAAGTAGCCTTCCTGGGAAGCAAACCCCGACGGCAACCCTCGACCCAGAAAACCTGAACCTTGAAAGAAACCCTGAAACTCTGAAACCTCGAAACCCAGAAACACTTTAAACCCGGGAGCCCTGAACCCCCACACCCTAAACCCTGAACCCTGAAATTCTGAAACCCTAACCCCAGAAAGCACGGTGCGCATGCTCGGAGGGCAACCTAGGGTTTAGGGTTTAGGGTTTAGGGTTTTAGGGTTTAGGGTTTTAGGGTTTTAGGGTTTAGGGTATGCGAATGCAAGGGCCATATTACAAGTATTCTAAGGAAACCTTTACGGGTACAACCTTGAAGGTAGGAGTCTTAATTCCTTGACGCCTAAACCCAAAACCCGAAGCCCTAAACCCTAAACCCTTGACGGCTAAGGGCTTAGGGCTTGAGGCCTCTTAGGGTTTTAGGGCGTTTGGGGTTCAGGGCTTTAGGGTCCAAAGCCTAAACTCTAAACCCTATAAACCCTAAACCCCCCCCCCCCCCCCAAATCCCTAGAACCCAGACCCCAAAACCCTAAAACCCAAAACTCTAAACCCTAAAGCCTGAACCCTGTAAAACACAGACCCTAAACCCAAGAACTAGAACCCAAAACCCTGAACCCTGTAACACCCAGACCCTAAAGCCCTAGAACTAAGCCCTGAACCCTGTAAAACCCAGACCCTAAAACCCTAGAAGCCTAGAACCCTAGACCCTAAACCCTTAACCCTAAACCTTAAACCGCCAAACGTGTGCATTGAGACCCCCGGCGATTCTTTCACCGGCGCGGTCAAAGAAACCGCACCTGGAGGTTGAGTTTGGAGTTTAGGGGTTTAGGGGTTTAGGGTTTAGGGGTTTAGGGTTTAGGGTTTCGGGTTTAGGGTTAGGGTTTAGTACTAAACTAGGAAGAGCTTCAGGCACTGTACAAAAACTTGGAGGTACCTTTTGGGGGGTCTGCTTCATTTTTCAGTTGTGTTTTGCTTTTCCCTAAAACCTAAAGGGTGGGGGCGGGGGGGGGGGGTTCTACAAACAAGTTCCTACTGCGCCCGCCGTTACTCAGAAGAGAGAATAGCAAGGGAGCCTGCATGGATAGCTCTCTAAATGTCCTCTTGCTGATTACCAGTTGGGATATTCAACCTATACTTAATCCCTGTTCCCCTACAAAGAAAAAAGGATCCTCTTTGTTCATATATAAGAAAGCCCATAACCCAAAAAGCAAAAAGGATCCCTAACACTGATCTAGTATACTAGCAGTCCTAGCAATCATAATAAAGTAGGGGTACCCATTTTTGGCCTACCTTTGGAGTAGACCCTGGAAAAAAGTATATACTTTTTAGGTATAAGCAGGTATAATAGGAACCCAGAACCAAAAATTGAATTAAAGTACAGTACTCCAAAACCCAGTTGGGGTTGGTTACTTTAGAAGCGAGCTTCGAACCCATAACAGGACAAAGGGGTACCCCTGGGCTGCCAAGGTGGACACGTCTACATCGAGAGGGCCATTAGGGTTTAGGGTTTAGGGTTTAGGGTGTAGGGTTTAGGGTTTAGGGTTTAGGGTTTAGGGTTTAGGGTTTAGGGTTTAGGGTTTAGGGTTTAGGGTTTAGGGTTTAGGGTTTAGGGTTTAGGCTCAAAGCAATGACCTCCGACGTGTGGATTCTAGGGCTTGGGGATCTAAGGTTTACGAGACTCAAGAGTAACCTAGACAGGGGTACCCCTAAACCCTAAACCCTAAACCCTAAACCCTAAACCCTAAACCCTAAACCCTAAACCCTAAACCCTAAACCCTAAACCCTAAACCCTAAACCCTAAACCCTAAACCCCCCCGGCAACCCCCAGAACCTGCCGGTGGCCTCCACCCCCGGGGCGCAGCGTCTGCCCATTCAGACCCCCTGTCAAGCTAATGCCGGCGCCGCCGGGCCTCGGGTTGTGGCGGTAGGCTGAGGGTCGTTGGGGTTTAGGGTTTGGGGTTTGGGGTTTATGGTTTCGGGTTGTAGGGTTTGAGGCTTAGGGGTTTAGGGCTTGGGGGTTTAGGGTTTTAGGGTTTAGCGTTTGGTGTTTAGGGTTTAGGGTTTGGGGTTTAGGGCTTAGAGTTTGGGGTTTAGAGTTTAGGGTTTTGGGGTTTAAGGCTTGGGGTTTAGGGTTTAGGGTTTGGGGGCTAGGGTTTAGGGTTCAGTGGAGTTTGAGGTTTAAGGTTTGGGGTTTGGGGTTTGGGGGGTGGGGTTTGGGGGGTGGGGTTTGGGTTAAGGGTTTGGGGGTTAGGGTTCAGGGTTTTGGGTTTAGGGGTTTAGGGTTTTGGGGCTTACGGTTCGGGTTTTCAGGTTTTTGTTTTGGGGTTTAGGGTTTTGAGTTTGGAGTTTACAACGTTGAGGGCTGGTTTTGGGGTTTGGGTTTAGGGTTTGGGGTTCAGGGCTTCAGGGTTCTAATGGACTGTGCATACGGGAGTTGATCTAGTAAGTAGCGGGCCCTTTTTGGTCAGTGCGCTTGAACATATTCCCGAGAGTTTAGTGTTTATGCCCTTTCTTGTGGATTCTGGACACACGCGGACAAAAGAATGTCGGGGACCGAATGACCCGAAAATTGGGGGGGGGGGGGGGGGTTATATACTATACCCTATACACTAGAAACCTTATGAAGGTATTCTAAACCCTAAACCCTAAACCCTAAACCCTAACCCCTAAACCCTAAACCCTAAACCCTAAACCCTAAACCCTAAACCCTAAACCCTAAACCCTAAACCCTAAACCCTAAACCCTACCAACATCTATTTCCTTCTGTCGTCTGCTGGGTCACCTCAGAGACATCCCGCCGCCGGGGCGTAAGGAGATGCCACCTCCTTCACGACAAAGAGCTTAGGGTTTAGGGTTTCGGGTTTAGGGCTTAGGATCAGGGTTCAGGGTTCATAATACCTTCATAAGGATTCTAGTAGTGTAGGGTATATGACCCCCAATTTTAGGGTTCATTTGGTCTTTCCGAAATTGGGGGGAGGGGGGGGGGGGGGGGGTACCTTTTTGCAGGGGCTCAGGGGTTCCACCACTATTCTTGGGAAACCCCCATATGAGGGAGTTGCTTGGCAGGCGTTGTGAAGCGTCTGCCTCCGGGCTGGATGGCTGAATGTCATAGGGTGGCAATAGCTTCATCAAGTCTAGCAAGGCAGAAAGAATGGGGTGAAGGTTAAGCAGTCTAGAAACCTTAAATCCTAAGCCCTCAGCCCTCAACCCATGAAGGTCGTGGATTTCAGGGTGCCTGGATCAATTCTAGAACTTGTTAAGCACTTCACCGCTCTACCTCGGCGAAAGTGCCTGACTATGGGGGGGGGGGGGGGAAAATAAGTCGTAGTAGCAAAGTTCCGCGAACTCCTCAGCATGTCCCACCCTAAACCCTAAACCCTAAACCCTCAACCCTAAACCCTAAACCCTAATCCCAAGTGCGCGGTTTTGGCAAGGCCCACCCAGACCCCACGACCCCACTACGCTTTTCCCGCGGCGCGCGCGCCAGCTCGGGGAAGTCTGCATAGTCCAGCGGCATGCGTCCAGTATTATCTGCCACAGTGTCGTCCGCGCCGGCCTCCAAAAGCAAGCGTGCCTAGGATGGCACTTATAAAACCCTCTGAAAAAAGTATCCATAAACATGATCCTCCTAAACCCAGTAAGAGGAAAATATACATGATCCTCTTAAACCCAGTAGAGGAAAATCTTCCTAAATATGATCCTCTTAAACCGAACAACAGGTAAATATTTAAGAAAGACCATGTCCTCAGGGCCTACCGAGGTACTACTTCATATAGCGGTCGGAATGAATACTAATCCCTACTTTGGAGTGAACCCTGGAAAAAGGGTATATACTGTTTTTTAGGTAGAAGTATCTATGATCGGGAACCAAAACACCAAAAAAGTGTTAAAGTATAGTACTCCAAAACCCAGTTACTAGTATTCCCATTTTGGCACCGAGGTACCACTTCTAGTACGCCAAAACCCAGTTGCTAATAGTATTCCCTTATGGCACCGAGGTGCCACTTCCAGCTGCTGTGAGCGCTCGGCTGAAGAAGACGTGCAGCAGTGCAGTGCTGTCCGGCCGCTCGAGTCTTGCGCGTCGGGGCGAGCTTCAGCTTGCAGGAGCAGGCGTACCTTAAGAGCTCGAAAGCTTACTTGTCGGGCGTAGGGTTTAGGGTTTAGGGATTGGGGTGTAGGGTTTGGGGTTTGGGGTTTGGGCTTTGGGGTTTAGGGTTTAGGGTTTAGGGTTTGGGGTTTGGGGTTTGGGGTTTGGGGTTTGGGGTTTGGGGTTCTGGTTTGGGGTTTGGGGTTTGGGGTTTGGGGTTTGGGGTTCAGCGACCTGCAAGAAGGGTAGGTCTTGTCTTCGCTCAGGGCACGGTTCCCGCGTGACCACCAGCAGAGGCAAGGTGAAGCGCAGTGCAGCCGTGATCTTAGGTGTCCAGTGCCCTCGCCCCAGAAAGTTTAACAAGCTTGGGTTTAGGGTTTAGGGTTTAGGGTTGAGGGTTGAGGGTTGAGGGTAAACTAAAGTTGCATCTTCGTAGGGTTCTTGTCCACTCATCTATATCTACGAAGTACATCTGCTACAAGCTGCCAAAGCTTAACTCGAGTTGCCGTACTTGGGAGACCCGGTTTATCTAAGTCTACATAGCCAGATGGCAACTCAAAAACACACTCCTCCACCCTAAACCCTACTCGCTACACCCTACGCCCTACACCCTAACCCTAACCCTAAACCTTAAACCCTAAACCCTAAACCCTAAACCCTAAACTCTAAACCCTAAACCCTAAACCCTAAACCCTAACCCCCCTAACCCCCCTAACCCCCCTAACCCCCCTAACCCCCCTAACCCCTAAGCCCCTTAACCCCGCAAACCCCCAAACAGGCCACTGAGCAACCGTCGGCCACGCGAGTGCCAACACCGGCTTCTAGGAGCAGCCGTGCCAGCCCCTCGCTGCCGGCCATCCTTAGGTTTAGGGTTTAGGGTTTAGGGTTTAGGGTTTGGGGTTTGGGGTTTGGGGTTTGGGGTTTGGGGTGTAGGGTGTAGGGTGTAGGGTTTGGGTTTGGGGTTTGGGGTTTGGGTTTGGGGTTTGGGATTTGGGGTTTAGAAGTGTTCAGGGGTTGGGGGGTTAGGGTTTGGGGCGGGGTTAAGGTTTGGGCAGGGTTTAGGGGATTAGGTTTAGGATTTGTGAAGGGGGGGGGGGGGGCGAGCTTAGGGATCTGGGGTTTAGGGTTTAGGGCTTTCAGGGTTTTTGGGGGGTTTTGGGTTTATGGGTGCAGGTGCAACATGATCCTAGAGGCTAGATCAGATCCCGTTAAGCCCCCGCAAAGCTAGGCTGCCCAGTAACCTAGGCTTCAAAAGGGTGCCCTTTTTTGCTTAAAGGGGTTTATAAGGGAACCTAAACCCCCCCAAAAAGGGAATAAGGGTACTACTGGGCATCCTAGGGTTTAGGGCAAGCTCAACCCAGCAACGATGCGGTGTGAAGAGCCGTCCGACCCGAGCCGTCAGCCGCGTTCTTGGCCGCAGTGGCTGCCAGGAGTACGCCTGCCACTTCTTCCAGGTTGTTGTCGGCCGCCAAGTGGAGTGCTGTCCGACCATACGTATCCTAGATCCCCGAGGAAGCTAGGAAACAAAAAGGGGAAACGAGCCCTCATTGGCGAACCTAACCAAACCTAACCTAACCGAACCTTAGCCTAACCTAAGCTAAACCTAACCTAACCTAAACATAACCTAACCTAACCTAACCAACCCCCAAAAAAGTGTGGTCCAGTCTGGGTCCTAGAATCCAGAGCGTCCGGGTCCGCGCGGGCCTCCAGTAGCAAGCGCGCCACCTCTGCGAGCCCATTCTCGAAGGACGCATAGTGAAGAGCGGTGCAGCTGTCCTAAACCCAGGAGTTCGTAGTTAAAAAGGGATTCGGGTTTAGGGTATAATTAGGGTTTAGGGTTAGGGATACAAGACCTCAGAGTAACCTAGGACTAAACAGGGGTATCCCTTTTGGTTTAAAGGGGCTTGTGTGGGAACCTGAACCTAAAAGAAGGGAATCAGGGCCTACTCTGGGTCCTAGTGTCGTTGTCGCACAAAGATGCGTCTGCGTCCGCCTCCAACAGAAATCGCACCACTCGCCCATCACCTTGGGAAGCTGCTATGTGAAGAGCTGTGATGCCATCGTCATCCTGTGCGTTCTGGTCGATACTGGCCTCCATGAGCCTAGATAGCCGAGGAACAATATTGCAATAAGAGCTCCCTTTTTTGGGGGGATTGGTTGCTTCATAAGTTAAAATGGAACCTTGAACCCAAAAGAGGGGGCAAAGAGGCGCCTAAGGGCTGCCAAGGAGCACTCGCAGCACTTCCACGTGCCCACGGCGAGAAGCCGAGTGTAGAGCGGTGCTCCCCTCCTCGCACCTCCCCTCAAGGTCTGCCTGGGCCTCAATCAGCAAACGCACCACTTCCTTACGAGTCTTAGTAGGGAATGTCAGAGTTTGGTATCCTACATCCCGTGCAGAAAATCCCCCCAAAGTTTCATACCTAGAACACAATTAAACCCCAAACCCTAAACCCTAAACCCTAAACCCTAAACCCCACACCAGGCTGCTGTATGACCCTCCTCCGCGGCTTCGTGGAGAGGCACCCGGCCGAGGCGATCACCGAGGCTTGGGTCCTGGGGTTTAGGGTTTAGGGTTTAGGGTTTAGGGTTTAAGGTTTAGGGTTTAGAGTTTAGGGAATAGGGTTGAGAGGGTTGAGGGTCCTGGGGTCTGTGCAGCACTTCCTCGACTTTGCGCCTCTCCTTGGGTAGCAGAGTAAGCCAGATTCTCACATTAGGGTTTAGGGTTTAGGGTTTAGGGTTTAGGGTGTAGGGTTTAGGGAGTAGGGTTGAGAGGGTTGAGGGTTGACTGTTGAGGGTTGAGGTTTTTAGAACTTCGGGCTTAGGGTGCCCAGTAACCATATTATAGTAAGGGCACCTTTTTTGGGGGGGGGTTCAGGGACTTGTATAAGGGAACCTAGAACCAACAAAAGGGCAAAAGGGCACCGCTGGCCTACCAAGTCTCACCCCGAGAAGCCGCCTCTGTTAGCTCAAGCCTCCTTTTCTGCACTTGGCACCCTAGCAAAAATCATCATTTTAGCTGTTCCTGAGGGATTACAGTAACCAAAGAATAAAACTCATCATTTTGGCTGTTCTTTAGGGATTCTAGTAACCAAAAATGAAAATATCACTTTAGCTGTTCCTCAAGGGTTATAGTAACGAAAAAATATATTGACAAACAAAAACTCTTTCCACGTACTCCTAAGCCTCTGGGCGGGACTTGCGGAGATGAACGGCAGCAGGATCATCTCCTCGGTGGGCCATCCTAGAGCCCTCTTTAGGGTTTAGGGTTTAGGGTGCCCTTAGACAAAATGCAGGGTAGGTTTAACAACATATGTGTAGTCCTCCAACCTAGGGTCCCCTCCGGGTCCCCACGATACGGGTGCCTTACTAAGCCCTACAAAATCTAGGACCCAAAAGGGACCCGAATGGAGCGAACTACCCCATATGGGGGTTTCCGAGATTCGGGTACCCTATTGGGGTCCACATTATAGGTGAAATCCTACGATTTAGGACTCTGCGGTGTCTCCCCTTATGTTCGTAAACTCCCTCCTATCCCAACCAAGTCTCCACGTCCATCGGGGACCCCTCGATCCTCTCATCGTCCTCGAGGATCTGGAGGCCATGCATCAGCCGCTGCCGACATCGCGGAAGGCCACCTCGGGGTTCTCAAGCAGGGTGCAGCGTTGAGGGTTTAGGGTTTGGGGTTTAGGGTTAAGGGGACTGAAAGCCCACTTACCAGCCCCTTAAGTGCCCTAATATAAGTAGAAGTACAGGTATAAGTACCGTTACTAATTGGTTCATGAGTACCATGAACCTCCAAATAATGAGGCAACCGAAGACTAGCAGCCTTGCGGTTTAGGGTGTCAGGGTTGTATATGGGACCTCACTCCCGTAAATTAAAAGAAACGCAGAAGCACAAAAAACAAAAAAAACGTGCCGCTGAGGATACTAGGCACACAGCTCGTACAGATGTTGTTTCAGTGTCTTCACGTCACACAGCTGCTCCAAGGGTATGGCCGCCAACTCATCCCCCGACAAGTTGTGCACGCGCAGCATCACGAGGCTTCCGGTGCATCCCGGAGAATCTCTAGGGTTTTTGGGGGTTTAGGGTTTAGGGTTTAGGGCTTAGGGTTTAGGGTTCAGGGTTCTAGGGTTCAGGGTTCAGGGGGTTACTTGTTCTCAGGGGTTTCTGGAGATAAGCGCACCTTGAACCTGTAGAAAAGTGACTAAGGGCACTCTAGCTCCTGCGGACGGTGCAAGAAACTTGTGCGCTCGCTTCAATACAGGGTCCTTAAGGGGTTCATGGGGAGTAGGGTACCTACAAAACCTTAGGGAAACTTGGGGAATACTAGGGAACCTATAACCCTAAATCCTAAACCCTAAACCCCTCCAATTCAGCTCAAGCTCAGGAGCGGCAGACAATTGGCGACTCAGCGGCCGGGGGGGGGGGGGGGGGGGGGTGCTTTCTAGGGCTCCGGGCTTACTCAGAAGCCCTTGTGACTTAGTAAGTAGGGTTTAGGGTTGAGGGTTTAGGGTTTAGGGTTTAGGGAAGCTTCTTATACTCCCCATGCCCCACCTTACTAACCCTACTTACTAAGACGAAAGGGCTTCCAAGTATAGTGTCTTCAAAAGCTGCATGATTTCCTAAGGATCCATGTACCTATATAGGACATGGCCCTAACGCTACTATATAGGCAGCCCTATATGGCCCAAGTATATACTAAACCCTAAACCCTCAACCCTAATTAAACCCTAAACCCTAAATTTACTAAACCCCAAACGAAACCCGATTTTTCGGTACATCGACCCTGAGGCACGGAATTCAAGTACCACTTAGGTGGGCATGCACACCGCAGTTCCTTTAACCCTGAACACCCTAAACCTCAAAGTGGGTCGCTGCGGCAGAGGCGCAGCAATAGCTTTCTCAAGCGCAAGGCAAAAGTGTTTTGGCATCCTCTAGGGCCTGTAAACCTAAACCCCTAAACCCTAAACCCAGAACCCTGAACCCTAATCCCGAATTCAAGAATGGGTTCGCTGGCGGTTTCGTAGCCTCTATCGTATCCCTATCCCCCAAAAACACAGGTCGCTGCAAGTTGTTGGGGTTCTTTGCTTCATGGGATATTTGCTCTCAACTAATCCTGCAACTCCTTCACGACCCCCTCGTACCCGTGCGTAGCTGCTAAAATGGAAGCCATTTGGGGCTCAAGTATGTATTGTGGCCCTGAGCAAACCGTGTGCTGCAAGAACAACCCGTAACACTAAACCCTGAACCCTAGTCGCACCTCCTGAAACCCCTGAAACCCCTTTTTCCCTAAACCCCTCAAACCCCTCAAACCCCTCAAACCCCTCAAACCCCTCAAACCCCTCAAACCCCTCAAAACCCCTCAAAACCCCTGAAACCCTGAGCCCTCATGCTCCCTAGCAAACATTCAGCCCTAAGCCTTCAAGCTTGCTGGTTCTTCGTAGGGAAAAGAATAGAAGCAGTTTTGTCTCCACATCGTCCGTTGTAGCGCGCTTGAGGACAGCTACTACCCGTTTGCCACTAAGGACGCAAAAACGGGCCCCTCAACCTCAACTTAACGACACCAAGCCCACCTAGGGTTTTATTAGAGTTTAGGAGTTGTCAGTCTCATGATGGTCGTTAAGTTGTCTAGTTCGAAAACCCTTAAAACCCTAAATGCAGGCTTGTGGTTCAGTGTGGTTCTGGTTCTCGCGCAAAGCCAAACTGTGCCAAGACTTGAACACACTCTTACGATCAAGAGTACTGCGTGGCAGGGGCGCGTATCCTAACATATCTTAACTTTAAACCAGTTGGGGGCCAACGCCGTTCCAATTCAACCGATAATTAGCTCCGGGCTGTAACAGCTCAAACCCGGAGTCTAGGGTTTAGGGTTTAGGACTAAACCATATAAGCCTCAGGCCCCGTAACGTCGGCAGCGCTTCCGAACCCAAAAAGGTTAACCAAGACTAAACCCCAAGCAACCACTGTAGCTCCAAATGCCTTTCAGGTTTAAAATTCTAGGGGTTGAACCCTAGTTCGTAACCACTTCCTAAACTCTAAGCCCTGAACCCGAAACTATAAACCCTGAACCGGATACCCAAAGCCCTGAACCCTGAACTCTAAACACCCTAAAACTTAAACCCTAAACCCTAAACCCTAAACCCTACTGGAGTCCTGAGAGTCGGCCGCCCGCTTTGGGCGCCGTGCCATTGACAGCGGCAGCCTCCGCCCCCACACACGCAGGGCTCCGGGTTCGGACGGGCTTCATGGGTTTAGGGTTTAGGGTTTAGGGTTTAGGGTTTAGGGCTTAGGCTTCAGGGCTTTAGAGACATAGGGCTTGGGGGATAATTATAGGGTTTAGGGTTCCTAGGGGTTTTAGGTGTAGGCTTTTCGAGTTGGTGAGGGGGGGTGCATGTAGGGCGCGCGCTCGGTTCCTAAAATTAGGCTTTTAGGGTTTCGGACGAAAAATGAAGGGCAGGGTGGGGTTGGGCCTCAAGCTCACGCGCCAGGGTTTTATGGCTCTAGGGCTTATTGGGGCTTCGGCTTCAGGGTTTAGGGCTTTAGGGCGTTTTGGAGTTTTCGGGCTTAGGGCTTCGGGCTCAAGGGTTATGGACTTTCTCGTCGTGCACGCGCGCATCTTCGCGATCGTAAACGTCTCGCAGGTCAGCACACCTAAGAAGCCAAGAAACGCACGCGTTGGCTTGTGCAGCGCGGCATCGTGTCATGGGAGCCTCTAGCCTCCTGCCGCACCGCCTGTCGCGGGAAATAGGTCCTCCAAAGCTGCACAGCCACCCTCGCTGTCCAGGGTCGTAGCCGAATGTTTGCATATGGCATAAGAGACTGCAGGAAGGAGTGAGGTGGCGGCCAGCTTCCTGTCATTCATCCCTTTGATGTCTTCTTGCAAGGACTCCAGTTGCTTGGCCACTCTGTCCAAATATCTGAGCAT